ATCGCCTAGATACTTCCCATTTTACGCAGGAGAAAACCCGAATAACCAAAGATTCATACACACACACACACACACACACACACACACACACAGAGAGAGAGAAAGAGAGAGAGATATTTTGAATATTAATAATAATAATAACAATAACAATAATAATATACTAATAGTAATAAATTGAATTTAAAAAGGAGGGGAACAAATATTAAGAGGGTTCCCTGCCTCTGATTAGAGCAGGTCCCTGGACTAGTCAACGATCCATACATACCACATACACATACACACGCACATATATATATATATAGCCTCATAGATTTAGGTTAAGGGTTGCAATGGCAAGCAAAAATAATACCAGAGTGCTATACAAGCCATTATCACAAGCCCCAAATAAATCAAAACATTCTAGGGAGAACTCTAAGTCCTCAGAAAAGGATGCCAAGAGATGCCAAAAGGCAGTAGAAGAACATATTAAAAAATGCACGAGGGAGGCTGAACAGAAGTCTCAGTCTCCTTCCCCAGCCAGGCCGGTTCCAGTTCTAGACACCTTGCTACCACCCCTGGATCTTTCAATGCCATCCAGAGGGGCTTTAGCTGGACCGGTCCAACCCAGGCCTTCAACATCGCTACCTGCGATTGCTATCAGAGGCAACTTTTACCTCAACAGCAGCGGGACTATGCCAAGACTACTTCCTCCTGGAGGATGTCCCTAAAAAAAGACTTGGATAGAGATAGCGGTTAGGCAGGGCATCGCCATCACATAGCAAATTTCTTAGATTTTGTTATAACAACCAACATTTTGGATACGTCACCCTACCTTTTGGGTTTTCCTCTGCCCCAAGGACATTTACGAAGGTGCTGGCAGCTCTGGCCGCACACCTTAGGGGTATACCTGTCTGGTTGCAGTGTTACTTAGATATTTTGTTATTATCATAATCGCAAAGACAAGCTGAAATAGACACTCAAATCATCTTACAAATCCTCCAACATCATGGTTTTTCCATTAACTGGGCAAAGAGTAATCTGTCTCTGTCAACTAGTTTGAATCACCTGGGCACTATTACAGATACAGTTTAAGGAAAAGTTTTTCTATCCCCAGAAAGATTAGAGAGCATTAGAAAATTATCTCAGGAAATTAGAACCCTTAAGCATGTTCCTCTTGCCAACTTATCTACATTATTGGGGAAAATGATATCATGTATTTCTATCATCCCATGGGCTCGGTTCCACACTAGAAATCTCCAATGGTACCTACTTCCGTACCAACGGTTGGGAAGAGGCAACTCCAAGGCCTGCGTCATCATGCCACTAAAGGTTCTGATATCCCTGCACTGGTGGACCGTTCTGAACATCAACAAGGGTTGTCCCTTCAAAGAACCCCACAGACTCACCATCACTACAGATGCTAGCCTGTTTGGATGGGAAGCTTACTTCCAGTCCCTCACAGTTCCTAGGTGTTGGTCAGCAACAGAACGGGTACTCAGTATAAACTGATCGGAACTCAGAGCAGTCCACCTGGCTCTTCAAAGTTTCCTTCCACATATTTGGGCAAAGAACAACCTCATACTTACCAACAACATCATGACAAAGGCCCATATAAACAGGCAAGGGGGTACTCACTCGAGACAACTCATGAGGGAAGCGGAGAGACTGTGCCTTTGTGCAGAAAAGAACTTGATCTCCATCAGAGCAGAGCACATCTCGGGCTTGTCAAACAGGCAGACTGGCTGACCAGGGGCACAGTCAACCAGTCAGAGTGGTGCCTGCACCCGACTTTGTTTCAGGAAGCGGTAGAGATTCAGGCAGCCGGTCATAGATCTATTTGCTTCTCCTCTGAACTCACAGCTTTCAATGTTCATCTCGAGGTACCCAGCTGAAGGGGTGTAGAATATCAATGCTCTCTATTGTTGGTGGCCCCCAGAACTTCTGTATGCTTTCCCTCCTCTTCCAGTGATTCCCGGGGTGATCCAAAAACTGTTGGAACAAAAAGCGGAGCTGTTGTTGGTGGCACCATACTGCCCTAGGAGGCCATGGTTTGTGGACCTTAGGGATCTGTCAACAGAAGGTCCTTGGAGGATTCCCCTGCAAAGAGTCTCGCTCACCCAGGGTCCAGTTCTACACCTGGATTCTCAATGGCTTCACCAGCTGTATGGAGGTTGAGCGGAGACATCTGAGAAGTGAAAATCTCCTGCACAGAATAATCAGCACGATCCAAGCGGCCCGATGCCCTTCAACAAACTGCACATATAATGCCACATGGAACATTTTCTATAAATGGTGCATTAAATCCAACATTGATCCTTTCTCTCTGTCAGTGGCACAACTTTTGGACTTTCTTCAAGGGGGTCTTGACAAGGGTCTCTCACTGAACACCTTGAGACGACAGGTGTCAGCTCTGGCCTTGGTTGTGACATGGTAAGGTCTGAGATCTATCTCACACCACTCACGCATACAGAATTTTCTTTGGGATGCCACGAATTTATGCCCTCCACTGGTGCACCACTACCCGACCTGGGACCTTAACAAGGTCCTCACAGCTCTTACAAGGGCTTCTTTTGAACTACTAAAAACCACTAGTCTCCACTTTCTCACTTACAAGGTGGTTTTCCTGGTAGCAATAACATCAGCACAATATATCTCAGAACTAGCAGCCTTATCAGCCCGACAAGATCTCTGCATTTTTCATTCTGACAGAGTGGTTCTTTGTCCAGACCCGACATTCATCCCAAAAATTAATTTGGCCTTTCACAGGGCACAAGAACTGGTCCTCCTGAACTTTTGTCCGAGACCGTCTCAGGGGCTAGAGCATCAATGGCACCGAGTAGATATCAGGAGGGCTCTCCATATATATGTACTTACACCGAACTGCACCCTTCAGGAAGACTGAGGCTCTCTTCATTTCCTTTCAGCCAACCACTTAGGGACATGAGGTATCACCTTCAACTATAGGCAGGTGGTTGAAAGTGTACGAGACTCAATCACTACCAGTGCCCAGTGACATAACAGTGCATTCAACCAGGAGCACTGCAACTTCAGCAGCTTGGGCCGCACAAGCACCAATAACAGAAATTTGTTGTGTGGCAACATGGGCTTCCCCATCGCCTTTCATTAAATATTACGAAATTGATGTATTTCCCTCAGCTGAGGCTTCCTTTGGTAGGAGAGTTTTGCAACGGGTCCACAGGGACCATGAGGGGACTCCACTCCAGACGGAGACCCCCGCATAGGACAAGCCAAGCTCTGGTATGTCCCACTGCTGGATGCTCATAGCAGCTCATTGGAGAAAGGGCGTTGATACTTACCTGATATGCTCATTCTCGTGAGCTGCGACGAGCATCCTTTAAGCAGCAAGCCAGAGGATCTTAAGGATATGGTTTTGGTGGCCATTAGGCAGGGGATTGCTGAGGGGTTTCAACAACTCCTTTGCTCTGTGGGTGGCCGCCAAGGCAGGCTCCCGGCCTTTTGTCAAGTTATCTTCCTGTCCAGCGGGGTTTTTCCAGGTCTCATGAATATAGGTTTCCTGCCACTCATTCTGAATGGGGGGATTATGAGGACAGGGATTCTATGAATTCTTCAACATAGTCAATTTTCCATTTCAGAGTAGGAGGAAGGTGAGCTTAGGTAATCCAATCTATCGGAGGATGAAGGATCTAGGCCTGAGCAACCCACCTCCATGACCATTTTGCTGCCAGAGAGTCCAGTCCCATCCTGTGTTTGTCTGGTCTTGGTTGGGGAGGGTTCACTTTTTTATCTTCCAGAGACACTCTATGTCTGTCAAGTTTCTTCGCCAGAAAAACTGGAGCTAACAGCAGAGGCTGGCTTTTTATGTTATGGCAGATTCAGCTTGATGACATCAGAGGGAGGGGTCTAAACCATTCCTGGACTCTCTAGCAGCATGTATAGAGGTAAATATACCAATGCCCATTTTAACTTCAGGCAAATATACTGGAAATTTCTGTAACTGGTTGGATTATATAATAGTTTCTTAGTCTAAAATGGTTATATAGGAAAAAGAGATTATTTAATTTTAACAAACTTGAATAATCTTTATGGGTGTACATATGGTGCAAAGATAAATGGCATTTATAATTTGTAACAATAAAAAGATATGGAGAAGTAATGTAAAATAAAGTTAAACCATACATTTTTATCTACATATTAAAGATCAAATGCCCTTAAAATTTAAAACAAATGAGCCTTCACTGAAAGTAACATTAGGAAAAATTCCAGAAGATGCATCAGTTGTCAAAAATATTCATGATATGAGATGGAAGTTTATTTAGTGCAGATCTACATGCTTCTCAAAACTCTCACTACAAATGTCCAGAATTCAATTTGAATTCAGAAATGAAGGAAAACTAAGGAGGGAAAATATTTCAAAGCCTCTGCTTTTGCCTTTCCTTCTCAAGACGACCTATTCCATTGGAATCAGTTATTCAGATTTGTTTCACTGCTTTGAAGCTACAGATACAACTGTAGTTCTATGTCTGTTTCTACTGCCTCATTAATACCCACTTAGACAGCAAAAGAAACAGGCTCTTGTCTGCAAATACCAATCGTTCCTTTTGGTATAGAGCCTTCATTAGATCCCCAAATCATGAGCAAAGAGTGCCATGAATTGACACCTGGAGACAGCACATACCAGATTTTGAGTACAGGGATACATATACATTCCTTAATTCATCAACACTAACACTTGTGCTTTTCACATAATAATCTGTGATCTTCCTAAATAAAAGTTAGTCTAAACTTGCTCTGGTCTTGCTCTAAACAATTCTTCATTTTTCATTTATGCTTACTGTAACCAGATAAAACCACTACAATTAAGCATTAAATAAAGAAATACATCCTTCCTTGAAAAAGGAATGAATCAACAAGGGTACATTTTTAAGCAGTTTCCTGTATGGAAATACTCCCATTACTCATTATGAAATAAACTAAAATTTGCCTTGCTTCACCTAACATACCTAAAATGAATGCTGCTACTAGTCAGGAATTCTTTTTCAAAAAGATAAGATTCTACTAAAGCAGCTAAGAGAATAACAATCTTCAGTTTGCACCCAGTTTAAATAAAATTCTCAGCATATAAATGTAAAAGTGTTCTGAGAATTCTTTGTAATTTTGCACAAGTCTGCAGTTTTGAAGAAATTTTTTTTTTTTTTTGGTGGGAAGTACATCACAGTCTGGCAAAGTGCTGTTTTAACTGATTAATAAGTTGCTGAGAGTCGACATGCTCTGGAAAAATTTCTTTGGACTTCTGAGCTTCTATATAGCTTCTTTGGAGATCTCCAACCTGCAGAAAAACAAATAGACCAAATGATATAGAAATGCTACTAACAGCCTAGTATGTTAAGATTTCATCTAATGATTCCCTTTTAAAATATTTATATTCTGACATATATAGTAAGGCACAACCCTAATTTAGCTTCAAAAAGTTCATGTCCTATTCATTTTGAACTCTAAGGCACTCTGCATAGTGCTGTCTTTGAACACAGTACAGATGCATGGACTGCTAGGATGAGTCTGGAACAAATATTTCAAATGGGCAAATTATATAAGACTTCTGCAGTAAAAGTTTAATTTGTGAATTTATTGCTTTTCTTTCTCCTTTCCAACCTATTTTCTTTTTTTGACAAATCTTCTAGGTACTTCAGATTTGTCTTTCATTTGTAAACTGATCTACAGGCTTCTTTTCAGACCAATTTCAGGACAAAAACACTTAAGATATACAAACTAATAAACATACATATGAAAAAAAAGGGCGATGACATTACCTTTTCAGACAAGACAGCAAAATTGAAATGTGGCTCATACATATGAGGTGCTATTGATGAAGCCGTCTGCAGAAACACTCTTGCCTAAAACATAGAAAGTGTTTGTATTTGTACATTTGTACTAACAGCCAACATCTTCTGTGGACAGTGTAAACATGTTTTTGAAACTTAATTTATGCTATGGTTCATCTGCTAAACTAAAGCATGCTAGCTGGGAATTCTGGGAATTTATATCCATACATTTTAAAGTTGCCAAGTTGAGGAGCACTACAATTAATTTGTTCATAGTTATCCAAAGAGCAAACCTTAAACTCTATACTGGTTAAAAGTATTCAGAGAAATTCATATATAAAAAAGAATTACATAGGTTTCATTTTTCCACAGTGTTTTTGGCTTAGGTATGGCACCCAATGCTACAAATACAAGTTTCACAACCTCCAGGACTCTGCTAGTGTGTTTACTTTACAAATGCACTTTACAGTATATGCAATTCTTTTTCTTGAATGACTGATTCAGTGGGCCTTTACAGCTACCGTATTTTTTACCAAATTACGGTGTTTGTAACATAAATTGACTCAATGAGGATAGCTTAAATTTCTTCTCCATATTATGTTGTACTGGCTGGCCATTCTGGTTTTCTAGAATTTAATTTTCCAAATTGCAAAACATTTGTAGTGTTTCAACCAAAACAGTTTTAGGCCAGACCAGAGGATTAAAGAACTGAAACTTTTTGGCTGTATTGGTACAGCCTATAGGCAGAATTGGAACATTTTGTAACTCTGTGGAATGTTCTGCTGCTGCAAAACTACATTTTGTACATACCAAATTTAAACAAATCTTCTCCTGCTCCACTTTGGATTGGTTAAAGGCATTTGCACAGTTGCTTTTCCTATCATTGATGCAGCCTGAGCATTACCATGGTTCTCATTCACCTCAAAGAATATTATTCCTAAAATACATTAGCTATAGAAACTTAAAGACCCACCTTCCTTTAAATTAGATACTAACCTGCTCAATATGACCTTTTTGCATTTCCAACACAGCCAAGTTATTATAGGATTCTGCATGGTCATTGTTGTTAGCCAAAGTCAATTTGAAACATTGATGAGCCAAGTTTCTATCACCTATTCCCTGAGAAGTTAAAACACAGAATATATCCATAGTTTCTATATACCAGGTAATTTTTCCCTATGCAGATATTATAAATCTGGATATGTGTCACTCTTGCTTCTTCTTAGTCCTGAAAGGATTGAATTGGGAGTGTCAAAAAAGAATGTAAAGATGTTTCAAACAATGGGAGTGTAATTTTGGCAAGATTTGTGACACGTGGGGTTTTTAAAACAACACTTAAGAGTGGGGATTTCCATTCAAATCTTCTCTGTAAAAAAAGTGGGAATGGAATTAAATTCTTTCATTTGTATTTACTTTTCAAATTTATATTGCTGCCCATTTTACAAAATGATTCCTAATTTTATCATTGTAGAAAACAGTACTTTTACTATCTGGATTTCTTACTGGATTCGGTAGAAATTGTATTAAATTTATTGAAAGAATAAGAAAGGAGGCAATATTATGCATTATTTCTGTTTAAATGGAAGGTATTTGACAAAATTACCAAATGATAACCACTTTCTGCCAGAATTTGTTTATAGCTACAGGATGTGAACATGCATTTAACTTGGGAAATTAGACCACTAGAACTAGTCATGCAGAGAAATATCCTATTCTAATTCCTGTAAGTCTGGAATGAACATACTTCCTTTAGTTGGGTCTGCATTTTGTTTATTTACATCATTTGTAATCCTCATATTTCCTTCCCTTTTGTGGTACTGTCATTATGCCTCTTGCAGGGTTACAGGGTTTCTTTGAATGAGTAGGGCGAACATTTTTTGCCCTCCTGGTGAATTTGGGGGGCTGAAATAAAAAGTAACTAAAACTGCAGGTTACTCATCCCTGAGAAATACCTTTAAATCTTTACTAATTTTTTAATTAGTAAAGTGAATTCAGCAAATTATAATGAGAAATTTTATTGGATCAGTATTAAAATCCTTATGTTAGCCTACTTTCATTTTTCAATCTTTCACTTCAATTATCAACACATAGAAATGAGATATATTTTTACAAGTTTTCAGAAGTCACTTTCTTTCAAATTTAACTGTACCAAGACTTCCTCTCAGAGGCTGCTTCTCCTTGAGAAGTCTTACCCTTGAAACGTACATGATGTGAAAGTTTTGTTTGGAAAATCTTCAGGCAGGCTACATCAATCTTCCTTACAGGTACATACTGTATAAGAACCCTCCAATGAGACTGTTTCTATCTTCTCCAAGAGGAAATAAACATATTGCGATATACAGCATGCAAAAACATTTCTTCTTGCATCTTTCTGGTAGTTGAAAAGTAGGTTATAGGCCACTAACGCTTTCTGGGTTATAATCTAATCATTTCTGCATAAATATTTCATCAAAGTATCCTTAACAAGCATTATTCTTACCACAGCTACATGTCCCAAGTTGTACCACACATCTGCAGCTTGTTCCTCGCTTTCTGCTAGAGATAGTGCACGTTCAAATGAACTGAGAATCATGTCATATTGCTGGGCATAGAAACAGCAGAGGCCTAGATTGTTAAAGAGTTGGCTGTTATAAATGCCCATCTGCAGGAGCCGCCTAGTTCAACATAAAAAATAAATAAGTCAATTTGTATTTCTGGAGCATGCTCCTTGAAAGTTTCTTGTGCTCATGCTAATTCTGTACACACACACACACACACACACACACACACACACACACACACACACACTCATTCAGTAGCTTGATTCATGCTGACTTCATTGAGGCATCCATGAAGTTTTCTTAGGAACAGTACAGTCCTGCCTATTCAAGGATAGCTTTGATTTTCCAGTCTAGCCTACTGTAATGGGAATAAAGAATGCCCTTGAAAGACAGGAGGAAGAGCTGCTACCAAGGCAGTGATAAGCAAGTATGGCTTGAGCCCATTCCAGGAAACTAGTTTCTTATAAATGTGCCAGGCCACTCTTTAGTTCACACTAACAGAAAATGAAGGAGGGGGTAAGGGCATTCAGATTTGCAAGATTCTGTTACTATAACTGTTACCTGATCTATATGGCATTCCTTTCTTAGAGTGGTCTGCCTTGCAAAGCAGACATCTACAATCTAGCATTCCTTGTAATCTTTCAATAAAATACTTCCAAGATCTCACCATTCTTAGCATCCTAGCTCAAGAAGGCTGCCATCTTTAGATAAAGTCAAACAGGAGTTCTATATAATTATTTCATGGCATGGCAGTTTCCGCCCATCTCATTTAATATCCCAAATTATAATCCATAGTAAGAATATATATACAGTACGTCTTTTTACAAGTGTCACCTCCCTTGGACCAGGGAAAAAACATTTCAGGGTGCACAGTCTCTGTATTTCTTACTGAACATAAGAAGAAACCAGGGTGCAATAGTTCTTATACCCTCATTTTCAATATGATCAGCATTTTCTCTCCTTCCCCCAAGAATTGAGCCTTGTAGTCTAAAACTGAGTTCCCCAACCTTTCTGGCTTTGCAGACTGGTGGGAGGGGTGGGGAGAGGGGATGGTTCTGTGCAAGTGGTGAGTGAGTGTGCGTGTATTCAATTTGCACAAGTGGTGGGCATCTGCACCTCCATGAGCATGTCACCTTCATAGCCCAGTTCCAAAAGGCTCAAGTCAAGTTGGCAACCGCTGGACTAGAACTATTAAATTTAGCCCTCTAACAAAGCACTCCTACTATAAAGGAACTTGCTGTTCAAAACACTGTGTAGTATCTTCAAGTCTAACCATTATTCTGTCCTTAAGTTTTCATAGCCTTTGACTATCTGACAGATATAATAAAATACTTTTCTTTTTAATTATCAGGCTATGCAGTCGAGCTAGCCTAGACTGATTCTTCTTCTGTAAAGTCAGGGACATTAGTACAAATAACTAACTTCTGTAACTGAGAAATGAATACAGAGAAACTCTCCATCTAGGTGAAAATAAAATATATTATTTAGATAGCAAATATATATACTCTGGACAAGAAAATAGATATATAATTTTGAAACATTAACAGAAAATATGTTTGCCACATTCTCAGGAGATATTATCAGAAACACATGAAACATTGTAATAAAATTATTTTACATGTGTGTGTCTGTCTTTCCCTATTTCCCATGTTAGATTTTTTTAATACATTGGTATTTCAAATGTAGGAGAATAGTCCATTAATAGCTTTATAGTTCTTGCAACAAATTTGATGGTAAAAATCTCTTGGCAAATGAGCACTAAGTAAAATATAGATGGATGGGTGAATGTTTGAATACCATTTTTATGTTGTCTGATTAATCAGTTGAGGACAGACCACAAATCAGTTCATGTGTTCCCAGGGTTATTAACACTGGTAGAAATGATGGAGACCTTGAATCTACCTTGAGACTGTGGAACAGAACTAGAAGATATGTAGAAGCAACTCAAGATTCCCTTCTTTAATTTTAAATATTTCTACAAACAGTGTTCTGGTGAGACCAGTCTATCAGGGCAACCTGGTCTTCTCAAATATGGGACGGAGCATATTGCTTCTGCTTTCGCCTTTCAGCCCCAATCCAGGAACCTTTGCAGGCAGTTGTTTTCGCAACAAACTATTTTTGTGTGAATTTTATATTTCTACAAACACCTATTATGGATATTTTAATACAAAAATTAATCTGTAGTTTCTAGGTTTCTATCAGGGCTATAATTCTTAAGTTTGACAGACAACCCATTGAGTTAGTGTACGATTTAACATATTTTTCATATACCCATCCATTTTATTTTATTTTTTTACTTTTTTACTATTTCAGAAACAATATATATATATATTTACTATCTTCTTACCTATAAAAACGTAAAGCTATCTCTGGCTGGTCAGAGTAAAAATGATTACTTGCAATGCATGCAATGGCTTCCACATGGGTATTATCTTGTTTTAAGACATCTTTATAGCATTCTGCAGCTGTAGAAATGTTGTTCATTTCCTATAAACAGATGAAAAGATAAAAGTATTTTAAATTACAAATGATTAGTAAAAACAAAAAGATATAGAATGAAATTCAAATTTTATCAGTAGCTCTGTTACCTCTGTAGTACTACAGGCTTGCATATTATCTTATAAATGCTTCTCGTATCATATCGTCATTCTGTAATTCTTTGATTATGATTGCAATATTTTCAGAGCAGTTTTCCACTAATAATTTTATGTTCCTTGTTCTGTTTAGACTGAATATAACATTGCTCCTACCAATAGTCCTCATCAAACAGCTATGCACAGAAATGTTGGAATATACAACTTCACAGCTTTTATTATAATTCTCAGATATCTGCTGCATCAAGCATATCTGGGTGAAATTTTGGAGCTGTACTGAATGAATTACAGTGTAACTGAGAAAGACAACTTGAAAGTAGTAACTGAGTGTAACAGTTACAGTGTAACTGAGAAAGACATCATTGCCTTGGGCAGCCTCTCCCGGTGGTCCCTTCAGGTTCGGGCTTTGAGGGACTTGGGAAGGAAGCCAAGCTCAGGTCGGCGCGGCTCTTTTGCTTGGCAGGCGGGTGTGTGCCCGCGGCTTGCTTTCCCAGCTCTGCCCAGCCTGCATGGCTCTGGCAGGATGAGTGGAGGATCCGGAGGGGAGGCGCTCGCTGCCTCGGCGAGAGCTCTGCCGCCAGGCAGGAGGGCCTGCCTGTCAGCTGCGCTGGGTGCCCCAGGAGAAGCTCTTTGCGCTCTGCCCAGCGCCAGGCAGGGATGGCAGCTGGGCGCTTCTCCCGGGGTGGGCCGATCCTGTGCTGCGGCCCCGGGAGATTCGCCTCCCCATGTGGGGTTGGGTTGCCCTCTCGGGCAGGGGAGTCTTTGTCGTCCCGATAGTAGGGCATCATTTTTAAAAGAATTTGTCTTTGCCTTTGAAGGCAAAGGGAAGGCAGCGACAGGAGCACCTGAAGCTGAGTGTCTCCGCCGGGCTCTGGTTGCAGGGAGGAGCCCTGGCTGGCCACATGTAGCTGCGCCAAATGCCGTGGCGTTTCTTTAAACGCCACGGCAGCACAGGGAGAATGGAAAGCAACGGCAGAAGGTCTCCCAATACAAAGTACCCCACCAATGCCAAGGTCAACGCAGGCAGCACCATAACCAGGTATGCAACAAAAGTACTTCCTAATGGCCAGCCCCCCCCTCCATTCCCCCATTTCGCATGTTTAATATAGGCCTTAATTTGGGGGGAGGGGCTTAATTTGATTTTATTCCTATAAAGCATGCTGGGACTTCCTATTGGGGGAGGCCGTATTGTTGGAGAAACACGGTATATAACAATATCAGTTTTCTTCAGCAAAGAAACAGCCTTTTCTGCTTGTTTATATAATTTTCTCTGTCAGTTGTTACCAAAAGATTTTTAAAAGATTTATTTCCTACAGTAGAACTCATAGCAGGCCTCTAATCTCTAAAGATACAATCCTAGACTCACTTAGCTTAGGAAAGAGGACATTAGTATAGCATGATCAGACTTCCAATCACACAAAAGTGTACTGTATTTGAATGCATGTATCTGTCAGCATTACCAGTTTGCTTTTTATCATAATTTTGGAGCTTAGACTACAACTGTATTAGAATTCTTGATAAATTACATTTCTTTTAGTCTATTAGGAAACAGACATGTTGTGACTAACTGTGCCTTTTTGCCATTTGTGAATGGATGTTGTGGCCTGACAGAGGCCAGCAGAGCTGGCAGCAGATTCGGACAGTGAGGAGATTGGGGAGGAGCATGGGCCAGTCCTGGAGTCTGGGGAAGGTTCTGATGAGTGCTCTGTGTCAGAGGCAAAGTTGGGGCCAGGGCTTCCTGACAGTTATCAGATGCCTTCGGAGTCAGAGATCAGTGGAGCAGAACAGCTCGAGCCTGTTCCCGATGTGCGCATGCACAGAGTTGCCAGGAGAAGGGAACAGCTAAGGAACAAGGGCCGACTCAGGAGTAAAGCCACAAGTGGATGGTGAATGCCCCCTCCCCTAGAATATAAAAGAAGAGCAAAGGGGGAGTGGGGCTTTGCAGGAGACAATTAGTTCACTCCGGCATGCTTGCCAAGTATTTTGGCATCTGAAAGATATAGGTCTGGACACTCTCCAAGCCTGATAAAGGTTTTTAATTGGGAACTATCATGAAAGTCTGTTGGCCAGGACTTTGTTGGAGGAAATTCATTGTAAATCAAATAAAAGTGGTTTATTGGGACATGGACTCAGCTTTGTGCTGTTGGGGGAAGCCTAGGTCAGAACAGACGTGCTCCTTCCCAAGCACTCACTTTATAAGCATATTCATAATATTCTCTGAAAAATCTAAGTGCTTCCCAGTCCCAAAGTCTGGGAGCTCTAACAAGGAGAAAATATTGACATTCATATATATGTGGGAAGGCAAACTTTTTTGGTTAAAAAAATTTTAACTGAAAAACATTCAAGGCTTTCTAAATTTCCATTATAACTTTAGTTGCATAACTCTTCATTTTAACAACCTTTGAAAGAACAAGGCTTCTCTAAAAAAATTTATGTACTTGTTATATTTAAATTTTACAATGCTTCCTTCTATTTTGACCCATAACCATAGCCCTGTGAAGTAGTTTGGGCTAACAGAGAAAGTCACCCAGGGAGTTTCACTGGCTGAGGAAAGACTAGAACACAAATCCCCCTGGTGCCAACCCAACATCTCATGTCCCATACACAAGGATTCTCTTAACCATTTTGTAATCTCTGAAACAATTGTACTGTGCAATAATTCTTACTAATGTACTTGTGGCCCTCCATTCTCCCAATACCCATGAAATCATTAACAAGCTTCAAAAAAAATCAACTAGTTTGTTAAGTTCTACCTGTCTTTATTGTTTGAAACAATGAATACTAGAAAAAGACCTGATAATGACTCCTTTGTCCAAGCATGGATGTTCCTCTGAAACTGAACTATAAGCAGCTACTTCAGTGGAATCTAGAAGAGATATAACTCAGTAATAAACTAAAACATACCAAATTTAGTCCTTGTATTTAGATTTTATACCCACAGCTATTGTAACAGTTTTAGAAATACTAGAGGAGGAATTGCTAAAGCTAGAGAATAGGTCAGTTCTTCTATTCTTACATTTTAGAACAAAGAAGCCACAAGCCTAGTCTTAAAGTTATTCTCCCATTCTGCCTCCTTAGCATTAACTTATTTGCACATCTAGTATTGGAATTTAAAGCAAAAAACTATTTGAGGGCATACTTAGCAATTGTCCTCTTGATGCAGGAGAAAAACCTGATTTGCATACCTCATGAATCCTGGCCATACCACAAAGGAGGGAAACTTCTCCAGGAAATCGTTCTAACCCTTGTTTGAAAACATTTAAAGCTGTCAGAGGCTGATCCAAGCGGGAATATACCTGGGCAAATAAATGGGTGTAGCTCCATCAATGTTAAGACATTTTGACACTTCCTCTACTTATGTTCCAGGACAAAATTCAGATAAAAATATTCTAAAAATATTTCTAAAAATATTTAATGCAACTGTTTTGTGTCCATCTGCAGAACTAGTTTATTCATTCCAACTCATGAAATCACCAGTTACATCCCACCCCCACCACCCCCAAGATAATGGGCTTCTCTGTTAGGCCTTCAGCAGGACACGGCAGGCAGTGAACTTTCAAGAGTGAATGGACAGTAGTATAGTCTTGTCAAAGGCACCTGCTGATGCCAGCTAGAAAATGCTGGTTACTAAGTCTAAGGATAGGTACTATCCCCAATGTATACATATTGACTTTTAACTGTATTCTAGCCATTTGTAAAGAGACAAGGTAGACTATCAGCTGTTTTTTTTAATTTGTTCAAGAATTTGGAAAGGATTGTATTAAAAACCAAGTTCTTTAGAAGACTGAACTCAAAAACCTAACATGCATATACATGGGGTCGCTCACCCCATGTATATGCATGTTAGGTATTTGAGTTCAGTCTCCTAAAGAAATTGGTTTTTAATACAATCCTTTCCTAATTCTTGAACAAATTAAAAAAAACCCATACAGAAATATTTCTATTGCAGCCAGCATCACAGCTAAACAGGCAATGCAATGACATTCTAAAACTAGATTTACCCAGGTGTTGCAAACAGCAGTAGAAAAAGCTGATGAATTATTTGTTCTTATAGGATATTAAAAAAGCATTAGCAACTGAAAAACTAATCATTTTAATGAGCTTGCAAAAATTTAAGAAATTATAACCCAAGAGTTCCAAACCATTTGTCTAAAATAGTATTTTTTTAATTACAAATGCCAACTTACTTTTGCCAAGTACAATACTGTATCTACCATATCTTGTTGTCTGAGAGCTGACTTAAATTGTGTTTCTGCTTCACGGTATAATCCTAGTCTGGAGAAATTTTTAATGAAAAGTATGTTAAAGCCAACAAGCTAGTAGTAAATGGGTTATATTTTATAATAATTATACATTATAACCACTAAAAATGAGAATATATATTCTACAATTTACATGACTTGTAAAAATGAAATTAGAAAGGCTAAATATCAAAATGAGATAATTGTCTTTTTTATGTTCCAAATAATATAAAAGTAGCTACTAAATAAAGAAAATGCAGAATGAAGAATTGATATAATTTCTATTTTAGCTGTTTTTCTTCTAGAAAGGAGACATGTTACCAAACAATTATGAAGTGTAAAATGAAAGGGCAATATAAAAACTTGCAATTGAGTGTGTGTGTGTGTGTGTGTGTACACACACACACACACACACACACACACACACACACGAACATAATACAGAAACCTGATGATGTCAGATGAGATTCTGCCGAAATGTTGCTACAACTTTAAAAGCACAACTATAATGATGTGGGAAAATACCTGAACAAAGCTGAATACCATACATGTAAGTACCCGCGGAAACTTAAGAAAACAAATAATTTTATATATATTAATTACATAATTACACACACACACAAAGGTAGTCCTCGACTTACAGCAATTGAGCCTAAAATTTCTAAACCCATTTAAGTGGGTTTTTCCTCATTTTATGACCTTTCTTGTCACAGTTGTTAAAGGAATCGCTGCAGTTGATAAGTTTATTAACCTGGTTGTTAAGTAAATTCCACTGATTCTCTTTGTTAGAAGGTCGCAAAAATTGATCACATGATCCTGGGATACGGCAGTGGTCATATGAACCAGTTGCTAAGCCTCTGAATTTTGATCAAATGATCATGGGGATGCTGCAAAGGTCATAATTCTGAAAAAAGGTCATGTCACTTTTTCCGGGGCTGTTGTAACTTTGGTCATAAAATGAACTGTTGTAAGTTGAGAATATATTTGTATTCGGCTGTATTTAGATGAGTTAAAATTCCAGGGTTAGATAAATGACAATATGGTGCTTTAGCTGAACTTATAAATTCCAGGGTTAGATAAATGACAATATGGTGCTTTAGCTGAACTTATATATCCTATGAAATCCTATGAAATGGGTGAAGTGCTAAACAATTGAGGTGGTAAACATTGTTCCCATTGTTTTTTTAAAAACTGGGAATTCAGTAAACTACAGAATAGTCCGCCTTCAGCAAATCACTTGAGGTACCCTTAAGTAATTAGCAAGTTAGCAAAGAATGGGCTGGGTGGATGATAATTTAGTAAATTTGCTTGAACATTCCATTGCTCATTAATGTTTGTTCATCCAACTGTGAAGAAATATAAAGTGAGTACTACAGGATTCAATCTTGAATTCTGTATTCTTCAACACTTTTATTAATTATTTAGATGAATGGTGGAGGGAGCATTTATCTGATTCACATATAACATAAAATTGAATGGGATAAAAAGGTAGACAAATTCGGTTCCCGTTTACCTGTAATAACACTTCCCAATTTGTACTTTCCACCACCAGTCCTTGAATTGGACATGCTGTGTGGCATATGCTGCCAAATCTAAAGCCTTGAAAGGGAAGCAAATTTACAAAGGTCATCTTCAATTTTGGGAGAAAAAACATATACAATGAATATTTAGCAAGTTGTAAAAAAAACTATAAGATTAAATCAGATAAATATGCTAGATTTTCCCCTTTTATAATTTGCCTCATGAGTTGAAATGGCAAAAGAATTATTGATGGCATAATTTTAATCTATTCAAACCTGGCAGCTTTCTTTATTAAGGCATTTAAAAAATTGCTAAAATCGCTCTACCACCTATATAATTTAATATTTTTCATTTTTAGTATTAATTCCTGTTAGGGTTGGATTCCTCTTAAATTGGATCATTCCAACCATTTAGTACATGCATAATTAAATACTGAAAAGGTTTACAAATTGTGTGTAGTTAATTGCAAATTCAGCATTTTGTGCAAAGACATAAATACTTTCCTTATCCCTCATCTGCTCCAATTTTTCATTAAGGAACACATCACATCCATAATTCACTATAGCCTCCTCTATTTATATAAATAAAGCATGTCCTTAATGAAAAGCAACTTACAACAGTTTAGATAAATGAACCACTTTTTTTAATACAATAAATTGTTTTGAGAAAAGCATCAAAAAACCTGAATGATACCATGAATTAAAATCCTGGATGGGAATTGGGGAAGAAGGGAGGGACGAACATCTAATTGCTTATGTGTTTTATATACTGATAAGGCTGGGAGGTGACTTTTAATGACTTAACCAGCATTTAACCAGCATTGATACCATCAGGTATCAATATACTACCAGTATTCAATGTCATATTTAGATATGTAAGCAATTAGATTATTTCTAAACAACTAAGAATCAGAAAGTAAAGAATGAATGCTAGTTCCCATTATTATTCCTATTAACAATTATATAGAAATTAAATGTCAGTAGTGTAGAATTAATTTTCAACAAAAAATAAGTAAGGAGGGAGTTAGCAGAAGCTCATATGCAGATGATATGGACATATAAAACTGTACTGTGCGGTTATACATTTTTGAGATTAATTTTTCATCTGTTCCCTTCAATATTTTATCTAATTGATTCGGTTTTATCTCAATTCCAAACTCTTCCATGTCTTTTTTATATCTTGCCTTGAGTTGTAAATATATCCACCACTCTATTTTCATCCCTTGCTCTCTAATTTCTTGATTCATCATTAATCTTCCTTGGGAATTTAGTACATCATAATATGTAATTTTTCTTCCAGTTTCTAGTGCATTGGGGTGGATCAATGCATCCATGACAGAAACCCATCCTGGAATCTTCATATAATGTTTGTGTTTAATTTCTTTCCACACTTTTAATAATGAACATCTAATTATATGTCTATTCAAGTGTGTGTAACTTTTATTTCCTGGGTTCCACATGAAGGCATGCCACCCTGCTTCCAAATCATGCTGTTCTAAAATTAAGACTCTTTTATTTCTCAAATTGGCCCAATCCTTAATCCAGGTTAAAATTGCTCCTTTATAATATGGTTCCCAGGCAGGGAGCCCAAATCCACCTCTGCATCTATTATCTTGTAAGGAGCTTAATTTTATTCTAGTTTTTTTCCCTGACCAAATAAATTTTGTAGTAATTTTATTTGTTAATTTTTTTTTAATCTAATTTAATTTGAATATTTTGAAAGAGGAATAATATTCTTGGCAAGATGTTCATATTAGTAGTCGCTATTCTTCCTAGCATTGATAATTGCAATTTCCCCCATTTTTCTAAATCTTTTTTTATTTCTCGTACCAATTTTACATAATTATCTTCTTTTATTGTTGAACATCTTGCCGTGAGCCAAATTCCTAAATATTTAATTCTTTTTACAATTTGTAAGCCCATTACCTCTTCTAATTTCTTTTTTTGTTTCTTTGTTAGATTTTTTATTTTCATTTTAGTTTTATTCTTATTGTTAACCCTGCTACCTCTCCATATCTATCTCTTTAATTAATTTTGGTCCTGATTTTATTGGTTCTTCTATGAAGAACACAAGGTTGTCTGCAAATGCTTGGGCCTTGTATTCTTCATTTTTAATTCATAATCCTTTTATCTCCATATTCTGTCTAATTTTTCTCAACAACGTTTCCAATGTTGTGATAAAGAGCAGAGGTGAAAGTGGACATCCCTGCCTGACTGCTTTTTCTATTTCAAATAAATTAGTCAATTCTCCATTAATTATAACCCGGGCTTCTTGGTTTGAATATATTGATTCTAACATTTTTTCAAATTTATCCCCGAATTTCATTTTCTTTACTTGTTCCCAATTCCCAATTTACCTTGTCAAAGGCTTTTTGAGCATCCAGAAAAACAAGTGTAGCCTGTTTTTCTGGATGAGTCTCATAGTATTCCAGGATATCTAGTACTGTTCTTGTATTGTTTTTAGTTGTCTTGTTGGAAGAAAACCATTTTGATCAGTATGTATATATCTACTTAATATTTTTTTTAGTCTCTCAGCCATTAAATTCATAAATATTTTGTAGTCGGCATTCAACAAAGAAATTGGTCTATAGTTGTTTATGTGGGTGATATCTGCTCCCTCCTTCAGTATTAATATGATGTACGCTTCTCTCCACGACCTTGGTAGCTCTGCCCCTTGAAGTATTTCATTATAAATTTCTAAAATAATTGGGTCAAGAATTTCACCTAAATTTTTATATAACTCTGCAGGTAAACCATCTGTTCCGGGAGTTTTGTTGTTGTTTTGTTTACTAATTGCTTCTTTTATTTCCTCTATAGTAATCTCTTCATTTAATCTTTCCCTGATAGGAAGAATATTGGAATATTTTCTTCCTCTAAATACTGCTTAATTCTCTCTTTACTCATATTTTCTTGTTTACAGAGTACATGAAAATACTCCAATACTATTTCCTTTTTCTTTTCATATTGTTTTGTATCTTTCCCTCCTTATCTGAACTGACATTGATTTAATGGCAACTGTTTTCAGAAACCAGTTGATTTCAGAAACCATCTGTTGATTTCAACTGACCACTGTTTTTTAGGGAAACCAAAATTATTTAAAAAATAAATTAAGTTTAAATTATTTAACATGACATAATTGAACTCAACCAAAAGAAATACATTGTATATTTTTCTGAAGTAAGAAAATGCAATAACCATTATCCTGGATGAAAGAAATAAGGAATTATTTTCTTCAACTCTTACATATTTATCTCACTCAAAATAAAAACAGAAAGAACATTAACCTTTTTTAAAATAAGCATACTTACATTCTTAACATCACTCTCATGATGAAAAATGTATTCAAACAAAGCCTATGAAAAAACAAATGTAAAATATGTCATCAAATTGGAGGCAAATAAGATCCACTTACATTTAATTAGAAATAAGTATTTTATTAGCTCATTTAAAATTAAAAGTTAATAAAAATATTGAATGCAATAAAGAATTTACATTTTAAAAATCTATGTAACGTTGCTGTCTTATTAGGCAAGAATTCCTAATCTTCCATCTGAAATTAATTAATTACAATGTATAGACCATGTGATTCCCAATGACTAGGAGCAGTTTACAATTAAAAGGAAAATATGCAAATACCAAAATATAAACACCCCAAAGGAAAATACAATATATAATCCCAAAACCAAGCAACCAATTAGTTGATAGAGGCTGACACATCATTCTACTCCAAAGTCTGGGAGAAAGCCAGGGAAATGGGATATCTTTTATGTGTTGCTGTTACTTTATTTATCAAAAAGGAAGTGGGGGTGTTCATTACAGGAAGCTCTAAAAATTATCTTGGAAGATCAACTTTTGCTTTGAACAACTGATCATATTGTAAATACAGGTAGTCCTCAATGTACAATGGTTCAAATTAACAACAGCCTAAGAAAGGGTGTTTTATGCCCTGTAAAGCACATCCAGTCATTGCCAAAGGTCACATCACCATCTTGCAGTCACATGATTGCAATCTGGGTACTTGGCAACCTGTTCTGTTTGCATTTACAATAACTTGCCAAGTGCCCCATAATCATGTGATCATCATTTACAATCTTCTCTGTCAGCTTCTCCAGAACACCAATGGGAAAACAGGTAGGGAAGGGTGCAAGCTATTGCAACCTGCCAAGAGAATACGCTCTCATCTTAGGAGGCTGGCTGAAAAAAAAAGCTCCCTGCAGAAGGATTTCGGCTCCATGCTTGATTTCATGGAACTGAAATCTTTCATGTCTGCTTTCATACAGCTGAAATCGTTTTACAGAAAGCTCTCTACTGAAGCATTCCAGTTTGAGCTGAAATCCTTTGTGCCTGCTTGCACAGAGCTGAAATCCTTTAAGTAGGCATGGAGCTGAAATCCTTCAGGAGGGAGCTCTTTCACCCAGCCTCTGGAGATGGCAGGGAATTGAAATCAAAATAGCATTTTCAGCCCTGAATGGAGAGGCAGTAAAGTAAGAAGTACAGAGTGTCTCAGGGGTGTAGGGGAGGCCCTGAGAGACCTGGCATAGGATGCATGCAAGTGTCTTTCCTCACTCAGGGGCTGAAAATATTGCTTGGATTTTGGCAGGAAGGAATTTCATTCCTGAATGGAAAGGCGGTAAGATAAGAAATACAGGGGTCTCAGGAATATAGGAGAGGCCCTGAGAGGCCTAGTGCAGGCCGCTTGCATCTTTCTACTCAGGGGCTGATAATTGCTTTATCCTGACTGAGAAATTGCACTATACTGAATTTGTGCATCTCTCTCTTGGAAAAAAAAAGTAAAAACACAAAAGCTATTAACATCTGTTTTAATTAACAGGTAAGGACTTAAAATGAACACATCACTATTAAAAAGCACATACCTTTGCCAACTTTGGTTTTTGAGCATAATTATTTAAATTCAGTTGAGACACATTGATGAAAGGACCATCAGGATTAGTGAGCATGGAGGCCTATAGTGGGAAAAAGTATCAAACTAAACAACATACCATATTTGAATGAAACTGGCATGACAATATACAACTCTGAGAAACCAATATGGTCCTTATAAAAAATAATACACGAGAATAAATTGTGACACTTGTACAATTCCCAGCTCTTGCCACTGCTCCTAGAGTTGAGTCAACTAGACTCTTATCCACTCCTCATAAGCAACAGCGACGATGGAGCTTAATAAGAAATTGACTCTCCAGTACGCACCCAGAGTCATATAACTCGGACAACCCTCAGTAACGTGTAATCAATAGGCATCTCCCTTTTTGGAAAAAAAAAAATTCACTTCACATTTTTCTTCTACTGTTAACATGTCTAAGCTACCCAATAATAAAGGTCACTGGGGTGGAATGAAAAGTTACTAATTTTTTAAAAAGTTATTACAAATATTAATCAACATAATGAGGATAATAAAATAGAAATAATAAAGGGGACAGAAAAATATGGAACATATCATTTGTTATTCGTAACATGTAGAGCAGGTACCAAACTGTAAAAAAACAACTATAATTTGTTTGAAAATTCAAGAAAAGGCAACCGTGAAAGCATATTTATTTATTTATTAATCAAAAGATGTGTGATATAAGTATTGCTAAATACAGTGGGGCTTACAGGATTATAATACCACACTTTATTTTTTCCTCACTACTATGCATAAATGGCTGTTTGTGTATTTTCTGGAACATTTGATCTTTAAGCAATAATAAGCAAAGTCTATTAGTATTATATAGAATACACATATTTTTCAAAAGTCTGATCATGAAAACAAAGATGCTATTAGTTTTAGTAAGTTATTAATATAGCAGGAAGAAAAAAAAGTAGGGGAAAATAACCCTAATAATCTTCCTATGCTGTATACATGTAGTTCCAATTTCCAAGAGTACAAACGTAGGAGGATCCTTACTGTTCCAAGCCTGACATATCTCCCTGAAGCACTAGTCATTGGACGGGCAGTGTGAGCAGTTCTTGGAGTCTTTAAGGCTTGTTCAATGCTACCTGGTCTCCCAGCCTGTGTGCTAGGTCGTACAAAACCTGTCAGGGGTCGCCCTGTTTGTGTCACTGGCCTGAAATGATCCAAACATGGAAGAGTATGATAAAATGATAAAACAGAAGCACTTATTACTATTTGCAAAATCAAAAATTACGGATTGCCATAGGAAACTATTAATATAGATGCATGTGCATATAATTCCATTTTCTGTGCAAGAAATCATATATTACATTTCTCATTATTAAGCAGACATTCCTATAGGATTTACTCACTACCCCAGTAAATGGCGCTTACATAATTTTTATTTTTTTGAGGGAGATCATCAATGTTATCTTTTACAGTGTGAAACCTCTTTTTGTATTGTTATTTTTGTTCACACTTTTACTGCTTGTAACGTATTCCCAAACTTATTTGGCTATAGAACATGTTGGGCTTTGAGAAAATGCACACCTATTAGTCCTTGAGTAGCTTCTTATCTCATTAAGGACTACAACAAAATTGTGGATTTGTCATCCATAATGAGTCAGAAAAATATCCCACTATAGAGAACAAAAATAATTTTAAGTTTGCATCCTATTAGAGCAAGAAAAAACATTAAAGAAAAAAATTAATAAATAGACCGAAGCTCTCCTTCAGCTAGTTGTCCATTTATAATACAAAAAGCAATCAATGATGTTTTTTTTTCACAGAACTTTATTAAATTTCTGGTGGTATTTCATAGAATGTAGTCTGGAAAACTGATTTCAATCTAGATATCACACTTGTAATTTGGGAGGGGGGGGTTAAAAAAAATTAACAATGTATTTTATATATCTATTTAATAAACACAGCTGAGTAATTCTTGACACAAAGTTCAGTCCATGTCTATAACTTGACAGGCATTTCTGAATATATAGGAAAAACCACAAAGGAGCTATAAAGAACTGCTATGATTCCTATAAAATGTATTTAAAGAGACTATTTTTTAAAATTTTAATTCCATTCTTTGGCAAGAAGACTTTTAAAATAACTTAAAAATATAAATAATTAGATAACTCCTGTCTGTTCTCAGGCTTACGATACACAAAATTCAGGGCAAAATGAAAAGGGCTCAAGAGGGAGAAAGAAAAAAACACCAGCCCTTAAAGCTTACCTTAACCAGTTCAAATTAAAAGAATTTAATAGCAGTTGCCATCAGGATGACAATTACAAAAAGCTCAAATCAGCTAGTCTTAAAACATAAGAAATAAAATACATCTATTTCTCTCTGTTATAATTCTGTGTGATGATTTATCACTTAAGTACAAGGAAAAAATTACTCAATCAGTTAACCTCACTAAGAAACTAAGTACAGTACCTGATAGCTTTGCTAGGCCCAGCGCCATGACCAGTTCCAGGTATTTTAAGCGAAGTACCAGGTCCTATTAAACAAACAAACAAAATAAAACAAACAAAATCACGATATTTATAGATACTATCCTATATATGTTTCTTTTGCCATTTACCTTTTGGTTACCTCTCCCAGGTTTTTTTTAAATAAAACCCAAAGAGAGAAGATGCAAAGTACAGATGAATAGTGAAGTGCCACAAATAAAATCTATTTGTTATTTTTTTGTTTTTGTTTAAAAAAGCACTGCTTCATTTAATCACAACATCACAGTTGGACTCAGAATCAGTCAAAACTGTAAAGAGAAGATAATTCCCTTATGCAAACAAAATGCTACCTGTGAAGCGCTGGAATTACATTCATAATAAAGCAATTAAAACTGGACATTTTCATTAGTGCATTGGGGATTTTTCTTGAAAATCAATTTCTTAGCTTGTTGCTGTATTGATCAAATACAAAGTATACATGAAGATTATTTACTCACTAAAGACAACTGATATTTTATAGGCATATGAACGTTTTAACACAAAATGAAAGCTTGAATTCTAAAACTGCAATATTAACTGAAATAAAAATATATTACTTTATCAAAACTGAAGATAATAATTTTAAAGAAAAGAAATTACAAGATATTAGTTTAACTCAGTGGTTCCCAAACTTTTTCAGTCCACCGCCCCCTTTGTGTTAGAAACTCATCCTCAGTGCCCCCCACCCAGGGGTGGGATTTAGATTTCTGTGGACGTGGCCTAATTTGAGGGTGTGGCTTGCTGGTCACGTGACTGACTGGCATGGTTTGCTGGCTGGGCGTAGCTTGCTGGTCACATGACCGGATAGGTGTGGTTTGGTGGTCATGTGACTGGGTTGGCGTGGCCAGGTGACTGGCAAACCAAATACAAGTGGTCCTCACTTAATGACCGGTTGTTTAGCAAGTGTTCTAATTTCTGACTGGCCTCCCCAGAGCTACTTGATCTGTTTTTGGGAGTTTTGACAGCCATGCACACACATAAACACACACTCCCTTCTAAACCTGCTGGAGCAGGTCATTGGACTAGAATCGGCAAAGCATCTCTGATTAGATTCTAGTAGTGAATAAAATCTAATCAGAGATGCTTTGCCGATTCTTGTTGATTTGTTTTATTTGTATTTCTTTATTTTATGTTGCTGAATTGCACTGACATGTGTGTCCCTTCTTGTGCACAACCCAGAAGCTTTTGTGATTCTTTGCAGCAAAAATTACTGACCTCTGGCTTTGCTCAACTTTTCAAACGTGCCACCACTGCCGCGTTTTAGGTGCCTGCCCCGCAGGTCCACCCCATTGAGCCTGCTGCACCGGAGGGATTTGCCCAAGCAAGTCTGAGCGAAGCAGTGCACCAAGTCAATGGGGTGAGCCTGAGAGAGGGAAAAAGAGAGAAAAGAAAGAGAGAGAGAAAGAGAGAAGGAAGAAAAGAACGAGAAAAGGGAAAGAAAGAAAAAGGGACAGATGAAGAAAGAGGGCGGGATGGAAGGGACAGAAAGAAAAAGAAATAAAGGAGAGAGGGAGGAGAAAGATAACGAGATATCTATTCTAGTCCAATCACCTGCTCCAGCAGGATTAGAAGGGAGTGTGCGTGTGTGTGTGTTCTCCTTGTAATTTACCAGTACATTTTGGTTTTGCCTTCTTCAGAATTGGCACTTTAAAACATTGGGGAAAAGTAATTTTTTAGGGTGGAGATCTGGTCCAATGGATCCTGTTTAAAGTCTCAACAAAATGTGAGAGCTTCCTGATAGTCTTGACCATGTTTTGTCCACAAAACCTTTAATAGAAGCCAAAGATGTTTCAATGTGCTGGCAAAGATGTTTCAGTGTGGAAAAGGACCTCAGACTAAACTAGACCTCATTTCAATCTGATGCATCTGGTCTCTCTCTCTCTGTCTTGGTCTCTCTCTCTATATATATATAACTGTAAAAGTCTGACTCACAGACAAACACTATACAGAAGCCTGATGATGGCAGATGAGATTCTGCCGAAACATTGCTATGACTTTAAAAGCACAACTATAATGACGTGGGAAAATACCCAAACTAAGCCGAATACCATATATATATGGTAAT